TTCTGAGCATAATTTTGAAGTCACCATTGGATTCCTTGACCAAGAAAACATATGATTGGCATGTTTAATTGAGTTTTTAGGTTGTTTAGAGGCCAAGGTAGCTGAAATTCTGTATTTTATGGCTTTTCTGTATTTTGAAATTCCAAAATGGCCGCCATACAGGTGTCTGTGCAAGTGGCAACATTGGTTTTTGGATTCCCCAAGGTCTGCAGATTCCAAAAATGTATAGGTCAACAAATCCCCAAAAAATTCCCACAAAAGTACATTTTTGTACACAGTGAACCTGACTAACAAGTTGACATTAAATTTGTTTGGGATGTCCTTATTATGACAACTTGACATTAACCAGGATGACCAGAAGATGTCTTTATCATGACAATAATAATCATTATGTCAACTTGTCATAAACACAAAAAGAGGTGCATTTCTCGTTAATGTCAAGTTGTTATGACAAAGACATCTTCTGGTAATGTCATCCTGGTTAATGTCAAGTTGTCATTATAAGGACATCCCAAACAAATTTAATGTCAACTTGTCATGACAAAGACAACCTCTGGTAATGTCACTTTAATCGATGTCAAGTTGTCATAATCAAGACAACCCAAACAATGTCAACTTGTCATTACAAAAACCCAATGACACTTAATGACAGCAGTCACAAACGTTTATAACACATAATGTTCATGACAGGTTCATGACCGTGTCTTGTCATGTCACTCCTTCAAGTAAAGTGTTACCCTTTATTTATATAGCACCTTTCACGCAAAAAAGTGCTTTACAATTCAGACGGCAGAAACAAACAGCAAAGAAATAAAACAATGCAATTATACAACACTCGTTCAAAGAGAAAAGAGAAGGATACGTACATTTATCTATCAGTAATTTATCAAGCATTAATTAAAAAAAAACATATATACAAACATACAGGATCTCAGGGTTCTAGAGGGACATAAGGTGATAGGGAATCAGTTATATAGGAGGGGGCGATGCCATTTTGGTTTGCCATTATTTTGTTTCATCCCAAGTTGCTTCAGTTTGGACTTCGGCATGGATGTCTTTGAACGTGTCACAGTTAAGAGTACACTACATACATGCTGAATACCTGTATATGACAAAAATATTAATGAAAATAAGGAATCATTTATTTAATTTAACAGATTTTTTAGTTTATTCTGTTTTTAAAGTTTATGTAGAATAAACGTATATTTTGTTAAAGAATGCTACTGATTATTTTACAAAAAAAAAAAAAAAATTAAGAGAAGAATTGAAAATCATGACAGAGATGGCTTTTAATTTGATGTGAGTCCGTCTGTAGTCCTGCGGTGGCCCCACTGTCTATATTTACGCCGCTGCTATGACTGTTTCTATAAGTTCTTTTGCAGCAGGGGTGTTAAACTCTTTTTACTTCATGGACCACATACAGCCCAGTCTGACCTCAGCTGGGCCGGAACTGTAAAACCATTGCAGAATAACCTGTAAATAACAACACCTCGTAATGTTTCCCTGTCTTTTAGTGTAAAAAAGTGCATTCTGACAACATAAAGCTTTTACTAAACAGATCAACAGTGGAAGACAAAAAAGTGGAAGCTACTGAGGAAGGAATTCAAGTTATTCCCTGCCTTACAGACCATTTACAGATCATGTTGGCACTTAGCAGTGCCTTAGCAAACAGGAAAGTCTGATGCAGCTGCTGATACAGCATTATTTTGCACAGTGTTCAGTATCTTGAAATGTGACCACACTAAGTATTCATTGTACTGTCTGAGAGCTGTTTTATGGTCAGAGAGGAAAAGCCTCTGAAGCAGCATTTCACATACATTAGGCCCCTTAATGTTTAACTTGCTCCTGCAACCTGAACCCTGAGCCCTCACGTGCATCCATACCAGGTGTGCAGGATCATCCAGTGGGTCTGATTGAAATGGCACAAAATGCATGTTTTCAGTATATCTTTACAGTGTTATAAACAGTCTCCTGTGCTAACTTAACCTGTTAGTCGACTGGTAACATGTCCAGCAGCACTAAACTGACGCCATGCCTTCACTTTAGTAACCTATGAACGTTTGCTTATGAGGAAACTCTCTGCAAAACACACTTTAACACCACTCAGCGTGACTTCACGGTCTGCTAGTGACATTACAACACATTTCAATGAAACAAAATGAGACTCTGTTACTTACGTTACTCAGGCAGCTTATGAAACAGGTCCTCCTTGTTAGGAAGCAGCTCAGTCATAACCTCAGGGTCCTATGTTCCCCTGGTTTACATGACATGGCACATGATAAGGACCATACACATATATACATAGACGCCGCATCGACTGCCTGAGCGCGTCCTCGCCGGCCGCCATCTTGGATGGGTCTCGCTTCGCCTCCACAGTGCATTCACTTCTATTGAGGAAGAAGCTGTATGCACAAGTAAAATAGAATAACTCACTGAATTTTCAACTGATTTTCACGCGGTTTGGTTTGTTACAAACGGCACACATGTAGTTATGATACAGGATGCTCTCGTACATTAAAAATGCGGGATTTCATGCTTTAATACTTTCTGCAGATAGCAACAGCATGTTATTTAG